AGCCAAAATGCTCACTGATGAGTGTGAATGAATTTTTTCTATTTATTTACTTTGGGTTGCTCACAGAAAATAGATGCCAACTTTAAACTTAGTCATGAGCTGAAAAAAATATTTGTGTGTGAGTGGATAGTAATGCCCACTTGCATGTTTATTGACCAATTAGAACTGGACTTTTTTGAAAATGTGTATGAAGCTTTGTGATCCACTTTTTGCACAGATTTGAACAAATTATTTTTTAAAACTCTCACTAACCTTTTTGGCTGCTTAGTTTGTGAGATTCAGATATGTGTGTACTGGGTGTGATATAACTATTTTATTGCTAATGTCACCTTCTTTGATAACTACTTGGTAAATAAATATGTTTGTTGTCTTTATTTTTTGTGTATTCAGTGTATTGTATTAAACAAAATGGTTATTTGGTGTATGCTCATCTTTCTCTCGGTTATTTGGAGGTCTGTAAAAGAAGTTTGGTGACCTCTGATATAGACAATATATTTAATGTTTAAAAATTGTTAAATAGACAATGTTATCAAAATGAATTAGAGTAAAATTAATAACTTGTGTATGCTTAGAAAGAAACCTGGGGAAAAAATATTCACTTTTCTGTAGATTTCTAAAATATGCTAAAGAAGTTTGCAAAAATGATATTTTCAGAAATAAATCATCCTTTACTAATTGATATTTATTGCTGCTTTAGTAATTAATCATAGTCACAATTAATATGCCAAATAAACTTCCAATTAGTATCTTGTATTTGGTTGTTGGGAAAATAATGACTGATTTTAGAATAAACTTTTGTATTCTAATATCTTATTATAGTAGTGTATTACTCATTCCTAATGATTAAAGTGTCCTTTTTGCTAATTTTATATCAATACTAGCTGTAGAGTCCGGCGTTGCTCGGGGACAGTAGCAGTAAGAGATAGATCAAATATTGACCATCATAAAGACTGAAAAATAAAATTGACAAAGATTATTTAAGGTTGACGGACACGCATGTCTTAATTAGTTTTTTTTTGTTTTTTTTGTTTTTTTGTTTTTTTTTTATGAATTGGTCACACCCAAACTCAAACAAAAACATTGTTTTCAATCGTTAAGAGTCTATCGATTGAATAGAATTTTATTATAAACAATTGTCTTGTAAATGGAATTTTTAAAGCATTCTGAATGTAAAAATGAAGAAAAAAGTGTGCAAGACAATAAGAAACACTACCTGCCAAAAAAAAGTGAAGTTTTGTTGAAATCGGTTGAAAAATGTAGGAAATTCGATCCCATGTATAAACACACACACACACAAACAACCTGGGTTTTATAATAAGTATAACTGGATATGAGTTGTCCCCCTTTCATTCTGGCGACAGAATCGTATTTCAAATTGATTTCATGCAAAAACAATTGTGTTTTTCTAATTTTGGGTGCTGTCAGAACCACCGCAAGGTAATTTTACGCAGTCCTGTGAAGTTTTGTTGAAATCAGTTGAAAAATGTAGGAAATCCGATCCAATATATAAACGTACACACACACACACACACACAATCTGTGTTTTATAATAAGTAAGATCTTTCAGAATTTAACTTAAAATATTGTATACCTCTTATCCTGAACATGGAAAACAAAGAGATGTTTATTTTTTTTTTTAGTATTAATACTTCCCAAACTATTGCCAATATTAACTGAGCATTGGATTCAATCATGATCAGATGGTACGATGGTGTTTTTGGAAGTTCTACTATGAAGACACAAGTCTTGAAGATCAAGTTGGTAGAGGATGTTCATCAGCAAATGACAATCAATATCTGAAAACATTAATCCAACAAAACCAACATCAAAGTGTCAGAGAAATCTCTCAGATAATAGTTATCAGCATTTCAATAATATTGGATCAGCTCAAGAAAATTAACAAGGGAAATAACTCTATAAACAAGTTCCATATGAACTCAGTGAATGTCAAACAGTTTGATGTTTTGAAGCGTGTTCAATGCTGCATCTGTGAAATTTGAATGATCCATTTCTTCATCAAATAGTGACTTGTGATGATGAGTAATGGATCCTTTATGACAATCATAAAGGATTGACTCAATGCTTTGATCATGACAAAGGACCCAAACACTTTCCAAAACTGAAATTGCACCAACAGAAGATTATGGTAACTGTCTGGTGATCCACCATTGGTGTTATCCATTGCAACTTTCTAGAATATAACCAACAGCTGAATGAAATGCCTATTCAGTTAAGCAAAATGCAACCAGCACTGAATAATCAAAAATGTCCAATTCTGCCTCATGACAATCATTGGTCACATGTTGCCAGAATGACATTGCAAAAGCTTTATTGACATAAAAGTTTTTGAATTGACTCAAACCAACCATGATTGGTTGGAAATTCTCTTTTTATACCTTATGATCTGTTTCCTACTACATCCACACGTTTCCTGTGGTGCTCTCCCCTTGGTTAGGCTAGACAAGCTTTTGTGTACCTAGTTAATGTGAATAAATCTTGTTCCTGGCCTGCTCCCAGCTGCATCTTTGGTTATGATCCAAGTTGAGTTTATCAACCTCCCCAGTTTGTTTTAACCCCTTCTTTTCATCTCAACTCTTTTCAGCTTTTATATTTCCCATGTCCGTATATATTTTCTCCTTCCCCACTCACTTAGTGAGAGAGCCTCTTGATTTTGTCCAATGGGCAGAATACAGCGGCCTCTCTCTTTTTGAGGGTTGGACGGGCCCTACTAACATCAGTTATGTTTAGTTTGATTTGCATTGATATTTAGTTTGTTTTGGGGTTCATTCCCTCACCTCTCAATCTTCATCCATAAATTTTTATGTATATATTTTATCATCATCAAATTTTTAAGCCATGGGGCACGTTTTCTGTAGGTACCCCTGAGAGGATGTGGTATTTTGGTGGATGGAGGATTGATTGGTGACGTATGAATTCTTGTGATAAATGGGCAAATTGTAATGAGTGAATGAGTTGTGAATCATATTAGCTAGGTATAGGATAGTCAGTGTGGACCAGCCTTAACCCCTTCCCTCTTTTCGGCCTTGTGCCATAATTGTATTCTATACAATAAATAAATTTGAGATTCACACACATAAAAGATATACACGGGAATTATGCATCTGAGAGATGCCAAAGAAACAAACTTCCTTTATGAGAAATTAGAAAAATTTACACAAAAAACTTTTTCACACAATATCTTTCATAGAAAAAACTTTTGTCTAAGTTAAATTCAACCTTTAAATCAAAGGCAGACAACTTTTTCGACATTGAACATTTCCGAAACAGCAAGTAACTTTTTCTCTCAAATATACTTTTGCACACATCGTTACAAAGAAATTGTACGTAAAGCTTGGGTTGGGCGAAAGTATAATAGCGCGATTGATTAAATAAACTTTAAATCAGCTAATCTTCCTCAAATAAAGTTTCATAAAAATAATTTTATTTTTAAAAGATTTTTATTTTTTTTATAAAGAGAATCCTTTGTTGACAGATTTGCCCATATGTCTGATTTCTATCAATAACGATTAAAAAAAAAACATTCCAATCAATTTAAATTCAGTTTGAAATTTAATACAGCAGAGTATTTTGCCTATTGGGAAATTTAATGTATTAGTTTGAAATTAAAACTTGAAAAGCTTCAAGAAAGAATAAAGATTCTTCATTTTTTAAAAATGCATTATCGCTTTTCTTTGGAGGTACCTCAACAAATGCGAATGTTAAAAGACTACTTTTTTTTATCGGAGTTTTGACATGTCATTGAAATCTTAACATTTGAATTAAAAAATTTGAATAATTTTCTATATAAAATAAATAAAAATAAACAAGAAACCTTGTATTTATTTTATATTCTGATTTTTTAAGTGATACGCGGATGAAGAAAAATTTGAATTTGAATAATATACGCAAATTTTAATTTTGTTTCTTGAGCTAAGGTTTAGAGTTTTAAACCCAATATTCGTGATACAGAATACAAGCTGTTATCAGTTGGGTTGTGTACTTGTAAGAAAAGTATCAAGTGCCCCATCTGACTTCACAGCTGTGTTAGCTTTTTGTGTTTTTGCTCCCCTCCCCTTCCCTTACAAGAGAAGACATGTTCAATTTCCGGGCTACTGCTCCATCGTAGTATTTGTTTTATTTTTTTTAATCCAACATTATGGCACCTGAAATAGAAACGTAAGTTTGATCGAAGTTTGTTTCTGCCCAGTTTTGTTTTTTTTGTTTTTTGCATCTGTTTTTTTTTTCTTTTTCCTTTTTGATTACGTGTGTAGTGAAACTAACTAGAGAGCCAGTGTATGTATGTGTTTTTGTTTTGTTGTTGCGCATATGACACTTTTACAATGCAACTCTTACACACGTGTCCATCCGATTGAACAAGATGAAAGATCGAGTTTTTGTTTATAGCTTGACATTAACAATGTAACAACATTCTCTTGTTCTCCCTTGCAACTCCCACCTAGAAAGAAAGACTTTATTGCTTGGCTGTATAGTAGCAAGCATAGTCGACTGCACTGGTATATGTGTCATCATAAGAGAATTTACCTCGCAACAGAAATATTGCAAATTATTACATGGGTTGAAAGAAAACTGTTGTATATAAGAAGAAAGTGGAGGTTTCCTTCTCTCGGGGTTATTCTGTAGTAGCAACAAGTTTGATTGATATTTGAATATAATGGAATTTCTCAACTCTTTCACATACACTTCGTTGCTAAATCGTACGAAAGTAGAAAAGACAACATAACTCTCTAACTAGGTTGTGGAGTTTGTTAGTGTTTAAAAAAAATTGCCGCAATGATTGTCGGTTCCAGATAATTTTTTTAAAATGAAAATTTAACAAAATTAAAACCATTATTTAAGTTGAGTTTTTAATTAATCTCTAGTTTGATTTGCAACTTAATCACGTTTGCTAAAAAAAACCCAAAACACGTTAACTTTTACAAAAAAAAAAAAAAACATATCACAAGTTTTAATTTACGGTTGCATTTGTAAAATAACGAATTATGTTGTGGGTAGCGTCATCATCTACAGAGGGGTAAGTTTTCTTTTTCATTTTTAAGAGAAAAAAAAAAATGAAATTAAGTTAACAAGTCGCTAAAACAGTGAAATTGTATTGTTAATCTTAAGAAAATCAAAAAGTTTTACTACTTTTAGCAGAAATAGTAACTTGCAATATTCTCTCTTCTCTTGTGAATAGAACGTTTTGAAAGTTTACTGAAAATTTCAAAATGAAATTAGGAACTAGTTTGATAAAAACAAATTTAGTCTTTAATTTACCAGACCTCATTTATTTAACAATATCAATAAGATTTTTTTTTATAATTAAGCCACAGCCATAAAATAACATTTTTTAAGTTGAAGAAAAAAATTCTCGACAGGTGGTTAATTAGAAAATTTCTTGTCGAATTCCAGTTAAAGGACTTTCCACTTGTCACCAATTATTTTTCTCATAATGTTGTTGCTTAAAACTTAAAATTTACACCACTAAATTTATTTCTATGTAATTTTTTTTTTCTTAAAATTAAATATCGCCATTTTGACACAAATCAATAAAAACTGTTTATTCGTACATTACAATCACAGTTATTTTCTATTTTTTAAAAAAAAAAACAGACTTGATTTTTTTTTTTCTCGCCACATTGGGAGACAATCTTTTTTTCTCCGCTAACTCCTTTTAAAAAAACTAAATGTATTTTAAAGTATTTTTTTTTTTTTTTTTTACCGGGAACATTAGGCCGGCTTATGAGCAGACTTTTTTTTATGATTTATTGGAAATGTAATTGCTTTAATTTTCCTCTGTGCTTTTTAGTTTTAAAAAACAATCGATTATTTTTTCTGTTACACAAAAAGAAAAACAAAAAACTAGAGATTCCCCATTCAAATCATTACGTTTGTAAAGAACAATAAATAAATACTGTCAAACTAAAAATTAGTTTATTTTTCCGTGTCCATTTGTTGCAAATTCTGTAGTTTCTGTTTTGCCTTTTTTTTTCTTTTTTTTTTTTTTTTTTTATAGGAATTCCTGAGTTTTTAAACGTTTAGTTTAACTTTACTATTATTATTTCGCCAACAAGTTTTTTAAAAACACCTTCGTGTTGGTATGAAAGAACTTTTAATCAAAATTCTGGTATTGGATTTGCGGTGATTTTTGTGCTGAGATTTTGTTTGCAACATGAAGTTGAACATGTCTGAAGGTCCTAGGTGTGGAATATTTTACTTTGTAAAAAAAAAAAAAAAGAAAATGTGCTGTATACGATTGAGTGGGGCTTCAAATCAAGTGAACCGATTTCTTCATGTACATTTATTTTAGTTCTGTCTATGATGAAAAAATATTTGAAATCTTGCCATTTTGATAAAAAAAAAGTATAAAGGCGCAAACAGCAATTTATTCTTGTTCATATGAGTTCTATTAATTTTACAATAAATTTAAATTTTTTCATTTCATTATTTACTGTCCTTTTCAAAGTGTCCATAAATTTTAAAATTTTATTTAATTCAATTTCACAGTAAAAACAACCTTATTCATTTGTTTTAATTTTATGTTTATCCGTGTCGACAACACTTAGAGTTAGAACCGTGCTTGACAATCGGACAAAGTGTTATAAAAAGATTGTAAACAAAAATAACTTCGCCTGTGATGAAAACACCATTATTGATGACATCATTACATACATCAACATTCCGTTTGGGACCACCTTTTTAGACAACTCCGCATGTCATCTGCTGTGCATCCCCCTCAACAAAGCTAGAAAGACATTATGCTTGGTAAATGCTAAGTAAAAAATATAGGTTGAATATTGTCAAATGAAATGAATAAACCTTTTGGATGAGGGATAAACAAAATTAAAAATTTAAATTATTAAAGTAAACACTCTAAAAAAAAAAAACAGTAATGAATACGGAACAAAGACAATTTCTGGTTGGGGTATCACCATTGTTTGTAGTAGTAACTAAGTAAACTAAAAAAAAAAGTAATACTGTATGGACAAATAATAAACTAGTTTATGAATAAAACTTTATTTTCTGATCAAAACTCGCAGTTTTGTCTGTTTTTTGTTCGTTAGTAATTTGTCAAAAAAACAAACAAATAAAAACTTCATTTTTAATTTCTCTGATGTCAGATATTGACATTGTGTTCACATTTCTTTTACTTTTAAATTGACTGCTTACCATATGGAATATTTTTGTCTGTGACTTTATACAATAATTTCTTATATTCTCTTTCCATTCTTAATATAAAATTGTGTAAATTTAAAATGTCATTTTTTAAATAAATATCCGAACGAAAATTAAAAAAAATTTTTTTTCGAAAAGAAAAAGGAAACATTTCCATGACATGACAATAAGTATTTTTTTTTTTTTTAATTATCCCAAGCAAGGTGATAATGTCACTAAGACACAACAAGGGGCCACTGAGAATGAAAGAGAATGAGAAGACTTTTAAGTTTTTAGTTAAGGAACCTGAAACCTCTACTGTTCAAAATACTGCGGAGAAGTGTGAACCGGACGATAAATGAATTTCTTCTACCAGCATCAACTGTTGAAATCATTTATTAAAAATTAAACATTCATTTTTTAAAAAATGCAGCGATTGAGATGAGACAGGTTATCAATTACAGTTTTTGTTTTCATTATTTTTAAATGATTGAGATAAAAACACATATCTCGAATTCCATTTGTGTTGAATTATTTCATTGACGACCCCCACCATCAGATGTACAATATTAGAATTGATCAGCTCCCAATCCAATGAAAAGAAAAATATAGCTGATTTTTTTTTTCTTTTTTATAATGTCTCAGAAGGGTCCGCTTTAAAATATTTTTTCCTTACAATAATCTCAAACCAATTGATGTGAGGAGAAAAGAAAAGATATTTTCAAAGATGAAACGTACTTAAAATCTGTTTATAGGTAGGTCTTCACTGAAATATTTTTAAACTAAAAATTTTTGTCAGTTTTTTTGAGGAAGCATAGATGAGCGATAGTTTGACTTAAGATTTTCGATGTGACATCGATTTTTAACAGCCGAAACAATTTCCGCATTCCAAATATTGAATTACCTCCCTTGGATTTCATTAGCTAGAACCATATTTTGATCACATGCGTGATACACGCTCGGCTTGGGCGATCAGGTCTCTTTCGATTCATGACTGACTAACAGATTCCCTGCTATGGTAGGTTGCTGTTTCTTCCTTTTAGACTGATTTGTCATGCAATTCAACGGGAGGAAAGAAGAGATGTATTCATACCTTTTCCATGAGTATTTGTACAGAAGTGAATGTAACGAACCTGACTGGAATTCGAACTCGGCCTTCCAATTTCTCATTCCAAGCCGATATCCATTACTCCACAATACACGTATCCACCAAAATATAGGTACTGCCCAAAGATACCTAAGTTTAAAAATCATTTTAAAAAATGAAAAAGATTTCTTGAAGGAAGCTTTTTAATTTCAATTTAGATTCACCAATAAGCAAAAAAATTTTGTGTATTTCAAACTGAATTTTAATTTATTGGAATCTTTTTTTTTTTTTTCTTCTAGTTATCAATAAAATCTACAAATTCGTTCATAGTGATAGATCTTCCAGCACAAAATAATTCTCTTTATTAAAAAAAAAAGCTTTCAAAAGTAAAATACAATTTTCTGAAACATAATTTGAGGAAAATTAACTGATTAAAAGTTCTGAATTGAAACAAATATTACAGAAAAGCTATATTTTTGAACATGTAAATGGGGGAGTTCTGACATGTTGAGTAATTTATTGGCAGCCTGATGTTTAGGAAATTTAAGTATGGGATTGAATGCCATATATATGTATGTATATTTTTACAGCAAAAAAAAAAAAAAAAAATTACCTCAACATAGAGATAGCCGCGCACAGAAAATTTTCATAGATATTTAGCGCGGGGTTTAAAAAGCAAATTTATCTTAAGGATTAATGAACTGGATTTTGTAAGAAGTAATGTTTACTTACTTTTTGCTGAAAACTTAATGAATTAAATAAGGTTTATTTATGCACAGTAGCCTGTGGAGACAAAATTAAAAATAATAATTCCACCCCTGACTTTTAAAAGTGCATGAAATATAAATAAAAAAAAAATTGAAATTAAAGAAATACAGAACACAAACAGTACAATAATGAAAACATTAGTATTTATGTTTTAAAATAAATTATCTTTAACCTTAACTAACCAATAATTTAAGAATATCATAGTTTTAAACTTAGAATGAATAATTTTATTTTTTTATATATTAGCAGTCGTTCTTTTATTTTTTAGTTAAATGATAAATTTAAATACATTACTTTTAACTTTTTAATATTTTCATACATGTCATAAAATATCTTGTTGTGCGATGTACATGGAGTGAAATATATCAGAAGGCAAAATTAAGTAAAGATGAAGTTTATGCGTGCTTATAGCGTCCATATCCCACAAAATATAGGTTATACTGTAGCGACTGCTATATTTTTCCACGCCCACATTTTATTCATCTGTGATTGGCTAATAAATTAATACTGCCTTTCTATAGGTCAATTTAGCCATCGCAGTCGTTGCTTTGAATTTTTCGGTTTTGAACTTGCTTACTTGTTTCTTTAGTACAAATTTAGTGATTGGTCAAATTTTAACCAATCACATATTTTAGTGCAAAATCAACTTTTTCCACGGTTTCGCTGGGAGCCTATCTGTAGCTTTAAAAGAGGCGACTTTTTCACAAGATGCCAGTAGAGTCCAGCAAATTTCGCCTGTCAACACAAACCTATCACTTTACTAACAACATTTCAAATGCACACACAGACACAGAATTTTGTAATACATATATACATATCTCTCTGTGACTCAGCCAAGTTCAATCAACCAGGACTCTGTTGATTTCTCTAACACAACACAATTTTTGATCAACTGTATTCTTGTGTTATCTATTCTAACAGTAGACTTGTTTTAACATTGATTCCTGAACATTTCTTTCTAAAGAGAACTTTCTTTCGAACAATCAAGAACAAATTGCATGGCAAGAAATTACTAAATACTATTG